TTCTAAAAAAGGCATTTCCTGTGAACTAGAAAAACCAAAAAGGCTTATGAAATAAGACGAGTAGGACTGAATATAAAGGAAAACAACTTTGTCAATGGTAAGCATCACCAAACAGCAGAATTCAGACCTGCTACTTACTTGTATTTCTGTCCCCAACAAGTGACTTCATGCTGACCCTCACTTTCCTCATTGGTAAAAGGGGGATGGCAATAGCTCTTCCTTCACAGGGTGGCTACAAGGGTTAAATAAAATACTCATGAACCATGCTTAGAACAGGGTCCAGCACTCGGCTGCAACTCGATGAATGGTGCCTAAATTTTGTTAATGTCTTAAGTCATTTTTGTTGCAAGTGACAAAAATCCAGCTCTAGCTCAAGTACAAATGGATTTTATTGACTTAGAATCAAGAAAGTGTGGAATTACGTCTAACATCAGGCATGCTGGTTCCACATCAGGACTCTCCCTCGCAATCTAATAATCCCAAGTCCCTCCAAGTGGTGGCAAAAAAACAAACAAACAAACAAACAAAAAACCCACAAAAGATACTGGTACCCAAATCCTTAGAATTAAAGTCCCAAAGGAAAGAGGGTCATCTCCCCCTCCCAACTCATACTGAAATTTAAGGAACACTCTGATGGGCCCATTGGAGTCACATGGACAGTGGTAAACTTCACTGTACCTGAAGGATGGGCTGCTGTGACTGGATGGTCACCCGGAGTGATTTGGTTCCCCAGCCCACTTGAGGATCTTTGATGGACTCTGCCTCTAGCAACAGAACTGCAGGGGCCCATCCCCTTAAGATCTGTCTTACTCCAGGCTGCAATCTGGAAGGTGGAAAGACAGCTAACAGGTTCTTCCCCGTAAGGGTAATTGTTTCCTTTACAGACAGGGAGTGTTCAGTGTTTAAGAACCTGCCCCTGACCCCAGTTCTCTGATAATCCCAATTTTATCTCCTACCTCATTACCAATTTCCTCTTTTAGTTTGGGGCAGAGAATTCAGCTTCATCAATCTCACAAAACTGAGCAGATGCTAATCTCTGTTTATATTACAACATCCTGATATTTTTCTCGAAAGCCCCATAAGCCACACACTCTCAGGAGACACGTGGTTAGAGCCTCAAGATAAAATAGGCAACAACTTAATCAGCTATTCTTCTTTTACGCAGCAGAGATTTCCAGTTTCCCGAGGAGGACTATTTTGCAGGGATGCCATGTACACCTGGACAGGCTGTGCACTGCACAAATCTTGGAAGCCCTGGTCACTTTCCAGTGAACATATGTGCAAGTGGTGGCCCTGGCCCTCTACCTCACCTTTGCTCAGCCAATTCCACATCTTAAGTTATTTCCTTTAATATTCTCCCCTTTCCAGGTACTCATTTCTAAGTTAGTCAAAACTGTCATAGAGGCAAGGGACAGAAACTCCGTAAAAGTAGCTCAAATACTCAGGAAATTTGTTGGCTCATAATAAAGAATGAAGACTTCTGGCTTCAGGTATGGTTATAACCAAGAGCTCAACGAAGATAGCCAGAGCTGTCTCTCATTCACTTTTGCATCATGGTGGAGACTTTTCAGTCTGCAGACTTTTCTTCCAGACGATCAGGGAGGATGACTGCAGGCAGAATGAGGCTCTGTGTGAAGCTCATGATCCCAGGAGACTGAAACCCTCCGAAGTGATGTCCTCATCGCAGACCTAATTATTGTGGCCAGGCAATGGGGTTCTTTGATAAGTGCAGATCACATGGTATGGGGTGGTTGTGTTAGATACGGGGCCATGTGGGGTAGTGGAGGGAGGTCCACAAAGGGAAGGCAAGGTGCTGGTAGAGATACGACGCAGACAGAAACAACAGCTGTCCTTACAAGTGTTATTTGCAATAGGGTCATCCAGGAGGTGGCAGGATGAAGAACCCAAAACATAATCTAATTGCAGTCTGGGGCCTCTCAGATCTGCTGCAGGCTTTTCCACAGGGGTGAAAAGCAGGTCTCAGGCCACAAGTTAAGCACAGATCTAGAAGGTTCAGGAAGGGAGACAACTCCTAGAGGCCTGATTTGTTCAAGGCTATATTCAAGGGTAAGTGATGTGAAAATTCACCAGGCAAAGACCATCAGAAACACACCTGTAGGCAAAAAAGCTTTCTTAGCTGGCTCCAGCAAGGAAGACCACATCCTAGGAACCGCAGAGCGCCTCTGTAAGAGAGGGTTGGGGGCAGGAGGGCATCTTAGAGGATGGAGGCACGTGCTGGGCGGTTTCAAGGAGAGTTATAGAGGGTAGAAGCAGAGCTGTCATTGGTGAGAAGCAGCGGTCATTTCAGTTAGTCAGGAGGGGGCGTGTGTTCGTTTTTGTGGTTGCAGAGCGTCTCTCTGGCTTGGTGCAGACATGGTCACAGATAGGCCTTGTATGACTTGTTTACGTTCAGTGAAGAACATCACAGCCCAGCTGCTAGCTGGCAGCTGTTTTTCATTCCCTCTTCACAGGGATCTTTGTCTCCAGGTAAAGTCTGCCCAGAGTCCTTCCCAGTTTCTGCCCAGGCTTCTCCCAGAGATCATCACTCCAGGGAGTCTGGGGCGCAGGGTGACAGCAGTGAGTGACCCTCAAGTGGGCAGGAAGAGGGAAACATTCAGGGACAGAATCCCCAGCTCTTCCTTGGGGAGCCTTAAAGGGAAATGCTTAATCCATTAAGCAAAGATAAAGAAGTGTGTAAATTGCAGGACTTCTCAGAGCCTTGCCTAGGCTTATGTGCATGGCCAGAGTGTGAGAGACAAAATGGTGTTTTTGGAACAAAGACAGAGTCAGAGACATGAGCCGGAGGTAGAAACAGAGAGAGAGAGAGCGCGCGCGACAGAGGCAGAGAAAGTAACAGGTACAGAGGCAAAAGGATGGAAATAGAGACACAGAGATAGAGATACAGAGAAAGGAATAGAGACAGAGCCGGGCAAAGATCGACAGGGACAGAGAGAGAAGTAGGCAGGGCAGAGAGAGGGACAGAGAGCGAGACGGGCGCAGGAGAGGGCCGCCCGAGGGCTGGGCGGGCAGGGCGCGGGCAGGGCGCGGGCAGGGCGCGGGCAGGGC